CTCTGTCCCCGGAGATTGCGGGGCTGGCAACGGGGAGAAGCAATCTTCTCCCTGCCGCCCCTTGCTTCAAAAGAGGTCCGGGGACAGCGGGGAAGACGCGCTGCGCTTCCCCGCTATCCCCGGAGCTTGCGGGGCAAGCTTCGTTTTGCGAAGCAAGCCCATAGGGAAATGCGTCTTGCGAAGCGGCTAAGAAAACGAAAAACTCCTTCGTCTAGCGAGTTTTTCGTCTTCCGAGGCGTTCGTCTTGCGGGGTACCACTGTATGTCATATTTAGTTTGCTGTACTAAGAGCTCAAGCTCATCTTGTTTATTTCCCATGCTTTGCGCATTAGTGTACAGACATTGAAGTCCATTAATCATTCCCCCGTGTCTCTTATTTAAGGATTTTTTCCTCCCACCACTAGGTCTGCGTGCTGTTTGCTCCATTTGGTCTATGACATTTGGATGATCATCTTCATCAATTGATAGACTCCTACCTTCAGGAGCACTGTCTCCCTCCCCCACATTAGTCAGTTTAAAGCCCTCCTGATGAGGTTTCTGAGATTTTTGGCAAAAACATTCCTCCCAACCGTTGTGAGGTGCAGCCCATCGCTTGCCAGAAGTCCATCTTCAAGAAACTGCAGTCCGTGATCTAAGAATCCAAACCGTTCCTGTTTACACCATTTGCGAAGCCAGCTGTTTACTTCCACTATTTTTCCCTCTCTCCCTGGGCCACGTCATTCAACTGGGAGGACAGATGAGATGACAATTTGTGCATCTAATTGCTTCAATTTCCTGCCCAGAGCCTCGTAGTCTCTTTTGATCTTCTGGAGGCTATTGCTTGCAGTGTCATTGGCTCCCACATGAACCAAGAGGAAGGGGTATTTGTCAGTGGGTTTTATGATTCCTTGCAGTCGTTCAGTTACATCTTGGATCTTAGCCCCGGAGAGACAGCACACCTCCCGAGACATTTTGTCAGGCCCACAGATAACTGCTTCTGTTCCCCTCAGTAGGGAATCCCCTATCACCACTACACGCCTCCTCTTAGGTTTGGTCGGGGTTCTTCCGTGAGCTGTCCATTCCAAGGTCGCCTGCACATTCCCTGAGGACTGACTTTGCTGCTCTTCTTCATATACCTGATCGACTGTAATGAGGGAGAGATCCTCAAATGGAGTCTGTTCTTCGTCTTCCATGCTAGGGGAGAGGACTTCAAAGCAATTGTGTATTTCTAAACAATCAGAGCGAACCCTGGGCCTCCTACTTCTTTGAGTCACGTTTCTCCATATATCTGACTCCTGTGTTGGTGAACTAGCCACCTTCTCAGGGGAGTCCCCTGTCTCTTCCTTGGTGGAGACGGTGTGCTCTGTTGCTTCCAAGAAGAGTTCCAGCTCTCTAATTCTTTGGAGCGTAGCTACACGTTCCTCCAGTTGCTGGACTTTGTCTTCTAAGAGGGCAATCAACATACAGTTGCTGCAGGTAAAGCTGCCTGCAACCTTTGGCAAGATAGCAAACATTGCGCAGGAACCGCAGGCGACTAGGAATCTTTTTCTAGGAATCTTTGGATGAAGCCATGCCTGTGTAAATATGCACTTTTAAAAAATATATAAATAAAGGCAATTCTTTCTCTCTGTGTTTATGTGCATATTGTGGATGTCCCTAGATCTAAATCATCCAAAGGAAGTACAAATTAGCTCACGCCCAAATTAAAACGAAAACACAAAGCTTACAGCAACCATGGATTGGGAAAGGAAGCAGCAGCGAGTCAACTTACAGAGCAGAGAAATAGGCAACCGTCCAACAAGGAAGGGATGTGCAAAGTTTGTCCCTGACCTCTAGGGTAAGGCCCCTCCACAAGTGAGAAGTGGGACGCAGAAGCAATAATCATGGTGCCGGGCTTTTATCATCCACAGCCCTTAGCAAAGTCACAGGGAAGAAAGGCAAGGTGCATCTGGGAGGAGGCTGGAAGAATGAAAAAGCCTTCTGCCAACTCTCAATTTCATATTTTCTTTAAAAGCTAATGGAGTGGGTTCAATGCACAAAATAACCCCGGTTGTGAAATAAAGATGAGGCAACGAAAGAGGATCCCTGGGTTGTTGTGCTCCAGAGAAGACACAGCCATCTGAATTTTGAATTTTATTGTTATTCATGTTTTTATATTGTATTTTATGCTGCTTTTACAATTAAGTGTTTTAAATTTGTTGTTAGCCGCCCTGAGCCCGGTTTTTGAACTGGGAAGGGTGGGGTATAAATAAAAAAATATTATTATTATTATTTATTATTGTTATTACTCTTAATTCAGAGCTGGAATTAGACAGGGTCAGCCCACCACAAAGCTCACATCTACAAGATACACTCTTATACCACTTCAAACAGTCATCACCATCATTTTATTTGTACCTTTCCATAGTTAAAACCACGTTCCAGGCCATTTACCACATTAAAAGATTCACATAATTGCAAACGGAAGGAAAGTGGTCAAGAACGATACATAAAACGCTTTGAAAATACGCAGCCAAACTGAACAGTTTCCATCATAGTAAGATCTAAAAATAAAGGTACAAAGAAATAACATCATGAACAGCAACAAAAAACCCCAATGAAACCCCCTGAACAACCCCCCCAGCTTCCCCCAAAGAATACTGGGAGCTGTCGTTTGTTAAGCGTGCTTTGAGTTGCTAAGGGACCCCTCACAGAGCTATAACTCCCTTAACAAACTATAGTTCACAGGATTCTTCTGAGGGTGGGGAAAACATGTCTCCTAAAGTGATGTAAGTGTGCTATAAATGTATGCTGTGGATGTGACCATAGACTCTTTACCTCCCTGCACCCTCAGGAAAAAAAAGGGGTGTGTGGGAAACCTGTTGCCCAGTTAGCAGAAAGACCTGGCTATCTGATGTCACTGGTCAAAAGGGGAGCAATTTACATACAAACATTACATTAAAAAACCCCAACAACAAGCAGATATCCAAAGTACAGAGATGGCTATAAGATCTCGTGCCTGAAAACATGTGAGCATACAGATTTAGTTATTTGCTGCAGGAATTTTCTGCCTTTCCTCCAAGCTGCTAGAGGCAGCACAGATGTATTTGTCTCTTATATTTTATCCTCTTCTACAACAACCGTGTCAGGTAGGGCAGGCTGAGAGATAATGACTAGCCTCAGCTGACCTAGTAAGTTTCGTAGCTGAGTGGGAATTTGAATCACTTGCTGCCTTTTGAATAAATCTGAATACTGGGAATTTGAAGCTAGACTTCCCTGGTCTGATATGCAAACCAAGGTACTTACACTGGGTTTCTGAAGCTGCTGAATCTAGCCCAACACAGTCTTTGCTGACTGGTAAGCAGATGTGGGGGACGCAGGTAGCGCTGTGGGTTAAACCACAGAGCCTAGGACTTGCCGATCAGAAGGTCGGAGGTTTGAATCCCCGCGATGGGGTGAGCTCCCGTTGCTCGGTCCCTGCTCCTGCCAACCTAGCAGTTCGAAAGCATGTCAAAGTGCAAGTAGATAAATAGGTACCGCTCCGGCGGGAAGGTAAACGGCGTTTCCGTGCGCTGCTCTGGTTCGCCAGAAGCGGCTTAGTCATGCTGGCCACATGACCCGGAAGCTGTACGCCGGCTCCCTCGGCCAGTAAAGTGAGATGAGCGCTGCAACCCCAGAGTCAGCCACGACTGGACCTAATGGTCAGGGGTCCCTTTACCTTTACCATCCCAGCAGATCTTTATCTTTAACATCCCAGCAAAGACCGACACTTAAAATGCTTAAATAGGGATCAAACTTGGGATCTTGTGCATGTAAAGAAATAGACATCGATCTCACTGTTTTTGTAAGGGATTCAATCACATGTTGACAAATTAAGGTTAAACAAGTCTAAGTTGATTGGGAAGTCTTGCAGAAGAAACCCGCTTCCCCAAAGTATCAGACTTTTTGCAATAAAGAAAGTGACGCGAAAATGCACTGGAAAGTGTGGGGTCTCACTTTCTTCCACACAGCTTCATCTAACCTTCCTCAAAACAAAATCAGGACGAACGATCAACAAACACATTGCCTGGAAGTTCCTGCTGAGCTACAGCTCCTCAGCCAAATGCACAAATCCAGCCATCACAATCTCACTCTCCCAATCCGGATTTTGCAGCCACTACAATTCATACTGAATAAATGTTCTAACCACACAGCTATTTGATCATGACAAACAACCCTGAGAGGTAGGCTAGGAAGAGAGATAAAAACCGGCCCAAGGTCACCCAGCAAGTTTTGGGACAGAGTGAGGATGTGAACCTGGGTCTCACAGATCTTTTTCCTGGGAATTCCAACCGCTACATTACACCAGCTCTTGGTTCCAGAGAGGCAGTGGCTTTCTGTGAGAGCTGATCTTAAGTGACAGACACATTATTTCCTGTGATAAGCACCCTGACCTCTTGCATCGCACCTATGAAGCTTCGGGGTGATTATATATTTGTATTCAAAAATGTATACCCAGGGCTTGTTTCAGGTGGAACTCACCAGAACTCAGTTCTGGCACTTCTCAGGTTGGGCGCCATTGCCACGATAAGAGAACAAGTTCATGGTGAGTTCACCTCTTTTCCTAGGAAATAGCACTATATATACCCTTTCTCCTCCCCTCACCCCCCCAAAAAAGCTGGCATGCAAAACCAATGTGAAATGGAATTACAACGAAAACATTCCCAGTCTCAAACGACACATGTGCTCTGCCATGAAGGTATTAGAACTGTCACAAAAACCTCTCCGTCAGCGTGATCACGAGGATGCATGTGGTAATGTTGAGCAACGGTGCTTCTCTATTACCTATGTATTATCTATGTGTGCATATAATTGCCTGTCTTCAGCCTACAGCTGCTTTCTCTACGAGGGAGTAAGTCTCACTGGACTCAGTAAGGCAGGCTTCTGAGTAAGGCTGGAAAGGGTGGCGCTGCGTTTCGCCACAGGGGCAACCCCAGTCGAGCACCGGATGGGGCACCCGTGTCAAAAAAGTGCCAGTGTCAGAAAACACTAGCGATGGCTTACCTTTGCGATCAGCAGCTCCCGGTTCTTCTCCAGTGCCTTGGAGCTCTCTTTTCGCGAAGGAGTATAAGAAGAAGCTGAGGTCCTCCGGCTACTGCTGGCATCGACTTGTCTCTCTCCCCCTACATGCATGAAACCGGGGCCAGGAAGTAACAGTCAGTTGTGGTGTTAGCTCATGCTCCAAACAAAGGGAGGGGTGGGGGGAAACAGAAGAAGAAAAAGAAAAGAACCCTGCACAACTAACTCAATTGTTTCAACACTGCCCACTTAACAGGAGTGAGAAATACATTTAAAAAACAGCGGCATTTCCCAGGATCTAACCGCATGCTGCAATTGTTAGTATACTATCGCTAGCAGAGAGGACGGTGGTTTTTTTTTAGTTTGGAGAAAAGGCGAGTTTGAGGCAACATGATAAACTCTATACAGTGGTACCTCAGGTTACATACGCTTCAGGTTACACATGCTTCAGGTTACAGACTCCGCTAACCCAGAAATATTACCTCAGGTTAAGAACTTTGCTTCAGGATGAGAACAGAAATTGTGCTCTGGAGGCATGGCGGCAGCAGAAGGCCCCATTAACTAAAGTGGTGCTTCAGGTTAAGAACGGACCTCCGGAACGAATTAAGTACTTAACCCAAGGTACCACTGTAAAATGATGCATTGAGAAAGGGGATGGAGAAAAGTACTGTCCCCTCTCTCCTAAAACAAGGCCTTGTGGACATCCAATCAGAGCTATCTTTCTAGAAAAAGAGGTGCTGGAACTTGGCAGGAAGGCCTCCCTTGTTCTCTTAGAATGCCAATGGCACCCACCTGAGAGTTGCCAGGACTGGGCCGTTTAAGGCTCTAAAGGTCAGCACCAACACTTTGAATTGTGCTTGGAAACGTACTGGGAGCCAATGTAGGTCTTTCAGGACCGGTGTTATATAGTCTTGGCAGCCACTCCCAGTCACCAGTCTAGCTGCCGCACAACCCTGGAGATTAAGAGTCTCATACATTGCCAATTGAGCTATCCCACAGGGATATGTTTGGACCTATGTAATATTGCAGGAAAATTTTCCTCGTGGCACCATATAAAATGTCACAGGGTGGCGAACCCAAAACAAACATTTTCTGCCAATGCTACTGCTATCCTTCCTTCTACGCTACATGAAGGACCGCCCAACAATTCAAGTCACCCTGTAATGGCACACATTTTTGCCTAGTCTTTCCTTGACCGATAAGATTGGCCCGTCATTTGTTTTTAGAATACTGTTTTACTGTTTTCATGCTGTGTTTTTGTATTCCACTCCGAGGTTTCTAAATATCAAGCGGGTTACAAATTCTTTTTAAACAAGCAAGTAAATTTTGCGGTGCATTTGTGAAGAGTGCCAAGCTACAGTAGATGCACCAAAAGGTTGTGTCAGTACATCTTTTGCCCTGATAGGCATCACTTTCACACAAACTTATATCGAAGCACACTGGCCAGTTTAATGCTCATTTGCCGAGTTACCACAGGTCCTTTCGGAGCTCTTTGCTCCGAAATAATCCCTTTTCGTTTGTAACCAACCCTGGATACCGTAATTTGGTGCCATTGGCAAACTTGGCTCCCTACCCAAAAGTTGCAATAATAGCAAACAAATAAAATAACTTACATGTTGCTGCCCTTTCACGACACCAAAAATCTGCTGCCTGAGGCAGTGGTTTCACTCCAGTGGTTTCACTCCAGATGTTGTGGACTACAACTCCCACCAGCATCAGCTTACATGGGATGGTGGGTGGTCTTAGCCAAGACATATGGAGGGCTGGCTCCCCCTGACTGAGGATGTGAAGGCCTGGGGGAAAACTGGGAAGAAAGACAGGGAGCTTTCTCCCAAATTTTCCAAAACTGTTAAGTTGTGGGTCAACATATCAGACGACACAGCGATTCTTCAAACAGCTCTTGTTTATTCACAGGCCAGGACAGAACTGAACTGAAGGGTTCAGCCAGCCGGCTTATATAGAGCTCCACTAGAACGCAACAGTAACCACTTTCTGTAACTATCCAATCACTGAACGTCACTTTCAATCCCTTATTTGCATATGTGGACCTGAGTGAAAACTATCTACAGTATCCTCCCTGCTGGCCCAGGGTGAGAACTTCAGTACATAACAAAAACCCTCTCCCAATTTTTCACAAAGAAATAGGGAAAAACACACATGGGGGAATGGGGAGCTGCCCCACTTTCCCACCCCAGACAATCATGTCTCTCTGCTCCTCATCTGGTGGTAGGGCTGCCCCATGGCAACTGGCTCCTCACCTCAACTCCAGATCATTTAGGGCAGGCATATCCAAAGTCCGTTTCGGGGTCCTAATCCAGCCCGCTGGTTGATTTAATTAATCCGGCCCCCGTGGCAGTATATGTCCTGGGGTAAAACTCTAAAAAAGGCTCAAAGACTTCAATCCTAAAAAAAAGCTGAACAACTTTGGTCGGCCCTCATGCATGTTCACCTCATCAAATCTGGCCCTCTTTGAAAAAAGTTTGGGCCTTTTCCCATCTATATTTATATTTACGGCTATGTATAGTGAATACTTATCTACTTTTAAATTTTTTTTACCTATGATCCTTTTCTTTTACTTCTCTATTTTTTCTTTGTTCTTTTTTCCTTTTTTCTGATATCTTATCTTTCATTTCACTCCTTTATCGTGAACAGCATTTTATAGAGGTATAAATAACTGTAAATATGAAGAGGCAAAGTATTCTCTAATTTTTTCTCTCGGTTATATGTATTTTCTTTTTCCTTTGTATTTTCTTTTGTTGTAAATATGTATGCTTTCTAATTTGTACTTAATAAAAATTAATTTTAATTTTTTTTTTGAAAAAAAGAAGAAAAAAGTTTGGGCACCCCTGATTTAGGGTCATTCTTTTGCTCTTTAGAAGAGGAGGTGAGCAGATCCACCTTGCCAGATAGGAAAGGAAAGGAAAAGGAGAAGTGGCTGCTCACCCAAGGGTCTGATGAAATTAAGTTCAAACAAGGGAGGAGAGATGCTGGGAAAAATAAGGAGCAGATAAGGAAGAGCAGCAAACAACTAAATAACAAAACAACATGGTAGTTAATAAAGAGAGGCCTCAAACAATACATTTGGAGACTCACCTTTTTAGGCCAGGCTGAAGGGAAGTGGGAAGTTGATGCCTCATTTCAAAGATCCTGACCAATGAGAAAATAAGGAATATTTGCATAACTGAGAGCACAGAATTTCAGCTCCTTTGCCTGCCACTCCATTGGCCTGGGCATGCAAATTCCTTTAAATGGCAATCATCATCAGAGCAAATTCTCGTTATCGGCTACAAATTTGAGAGGCAGCAACAGGCCTGGATCTCTAAAGACGATGAAACAATTCCTCCAAATTCTAAAAACGGTAAAAACCATTCCTACAGGTGTACATTGCTACAGGTTTCCTCTTTATTGCTGATTTCACCTTTGGAATGTTTTAAAGCGTCATGGTTTTTTAATACTGTTTTTACTGATAATTGTATTGTTTTATTCTCTTTGTAAAGTGCTCTGAGGTTGTCCCCACCCCCACAATCAAGTGGTGTATGAATTTTATGAAATAAATAATAAATGTATAATAAAATCTTCCCACTAAGAGATCAGGATAAATGCTCATTAAATAGCCAATGTCATCAACACTCTCTGCAAACACATCAGGCTGAATTCTCATTAACAGGCTGTCTGGAAGTGACCACCAACTGCAGAATGGCGGTAATAATATCAGTATAACTTGATTATTCTAGGGGACCGCTGCTGGCAACTTTCAAATGTGTTCCACGTACATTACCATAGAAACCGCTACACCAACCCTGCAAGGAAGACCAGAAGCATCTTCAGTGTCATCATATATGCCAGTCTTGATCTCAGTTCTCTAAGTACCAGTTCTCCCTGTAGCCAAAATTGGTGCTCTCGGTGTACATCAAGTTTGTGGAAGCAAAGTTCGTTCTTGGCATGCTTCCGGAAAGAAAAAAATAGTTCAACGAGGACTGTGCACACTTGGTGGACATGGCATGTAAGTGTGTGAAATCGGAAACCAGGAATGGAATGGAGTATCCTGCATAGGAGCACCCCACGCTGCAACATTTTGTTGCAGATTCTATTTCTTATTTCCATTTTGAGAGGTGGAGAGGGGGGAGGGTTCAGGTCTGGAGGAAGTGGTGAGTGGCTTGGCCAAGTCCACCTAATGAGTTCATAATGAAGAGGGCTGATTCAAACTGGGCATTCTCTTGCTCAAACCCTTAGCTGAAAGGATGTTACAAGCTGGCGGTGCATGAGACGTTAAAGGACAATTCACGACCGGCTGAGTCATCTGGATTTCTCACCAGAAAATACCGTAAGCTTCTCAAAGTTGCAAGAGTCTCAGGATTTCCCCATCATGGTAATCTTGTAAGGGTTTCAGATGTCTCCTATCTTAGATGAATATGCCGAGTCAAAAGGAAGTCTCATTTGGGGCTAAACTAGAGGTGACTTTTGCCACGTAGTTTGGGGTTACACAGATTTTGTGTGTGTGTAACAGCTACAGCGGTGCATGTGTGTGTGGAGGAAGACTGATCCGGACCATGGTGTGGAAGCGGCGTCTTTAACCACTTGCTGATGCATTGCTCAGTGACACCTACTTCCAAGTAAGTGTATTGTTGTTGTTGTTTAGTCGTTTAGTCGTGTCCGACTCTTTGTGACCCCATGGGCCAGCACTCCTGTCATCCACTGCCTCCTGCAGTTTGGTCAAACTCATGCTGGTAGCTTCGAGAACACTATCCAACCATCTCGTCCTCTGTCGTCCCCTTCTCCTTGTGCCCTCCATCTTTCCCAACATCAGGGTCTTTTCCAGGGAGTCTTCTCTTCTCAGGAGGCGGCCAAAGTATTGGAGCCTCAGCTTCAGGATCTGTCCTTCCAGTGAGCACTCAGGGCTGATTTCCTTCAGAATGGATAGTTTGATCTTCTTGCAGTCCATGGGACTCTCAAGAGTCTCCTCCAGCACCACAATTCAAAAGCAAAGTAAGTGTATATACGAGGGCAACCATAGATATTGACAAGCTGCAATGTGTGCAGAGGAGGGCAAGCAAGATGATCAAGAGTCTGGAAAACCAAGCCTGATGAGCTGGGTATGTTTAACCTGGAGAAGAGGAGACTGAGAGGAGATATGAAATCCACCTTTCAAATATCTCAAGGGCTGTCACATGGGAGGTGGAGCAAGCTTGTTTTCTCCTGCTTTGGAGGGTAGGACTCGAACCAATGACTTCAAAT